GTGTCACAGCAATGAGGATGATAGACTTTGGTGTTTTTGAGAGTCTGTGTTGGGTGCTTTTGGGGGTACCTTATTAGGACTGTCGGTGTAGGAGAGGGAAAGATAGGAGATGAAGGGGAGAGGAAGGTGTGGTTAATCTTTTAGGAAGGAGTGACTAGACCTCCAAAAATTCATTGTCAGAAGGATGCAACTTGGGGCAATCCTGTGCCTCATGACTTGCTGTGCACCAGATTCAGGATGTTCAGTTGCCATTGGTGGCAGGAAGGGTGAGTCTGCGGTATTCAACTCTTGGGGCCTTGACCAGAGGCCCTAGTTGGCGTTGTTTTTTGGTTTGTTATCGAGCACAATCTCAAGTGACCGCGGGAGCCCTATTGAGTAAAGTGCAATGGAGGCTGGACTGTGATTTTATTAGGGTCTTATGTTCTTTTTAGTGAACTTTTTTCTTCATGCCGTAAAAAGATAGACTCAGGCTAAATTTTAAAATTTTGGTTCTATTTTGATGTGTTAAAGTTTGTTTATTGCCGTATAGATTTTTATGAGGTTTCATCAGCCAATATAAGAGACAATCTTTTCAATAGTGATGATCAGCGCTTAGAACTATAGAAGTGGTGGTCACATGTTAAGTATAATTTTAACTCCTGCCGTTTTTATTGTGTAAGTTATTTGGACAGCTTGGTTCAACCCAAAGCTAAGCTGAAACTTTTCCAATTCTTTCTTTTATAACCAATGTTTTTGGGATCCTTCACTTATGACAATGACATCTCCTATGCAATGTTGTTGATTTTGATATTGATTCGATATCGGGATGTTGTAAGCTTCTTTCAAATTTAATTCAAATAAAGCCAGGGACCAGATGCATACACGGTAAATTCTCAAAAATTGTTCCGTAGGTTTAGCTTACCTCTAAATGCATTTTTTGTGGTCTTACAACAGCGGCTACATTCACAGAATGGAAACTTGCAAATGTTGTCCAATATTTTAGAAAAGGTAAGAAAAGTGAGGTTGGAAAACTATCGACCAATATCCCTACTTGTTTAGTCATGAAAGTTTTTGAGCGCATTGTTATACGTAAATGCTTTCTTTGACAAGTACCCTCTGAATCCCAGGCAGCTGGTTTTCTAGAGCACAAGTCATGCACAACCAATATGGTGACTTTTGTGATAGCCTGGCATTGTCTTTAACGAAATCATTATCAATCATGTTTGTATTTTGATTTTGCTAAGCATTTGATTCTGTAAATCATTGATATCTTCTTCATAAGCTAAAGGAACCTTAATATTAACATTGAGGTACACTTCTCAAATTTCTTACAATTACTTCAAGGCCGTTTACAAAGAGTGGTTATTGGTAATGAGATGTCAATCTACCTCTCAGGTTAATTCTGGTGGTCCCCAGGGTCTATTTTGGTCCCTTACTTTTTGTATTGTTTATCAATTGATATTTCTTGGCCGATCTTTCGGATTTAATACTGTTATTGTTTTTGTATGCCGAATGTAAAAACTCTGGCGCGTAAAATTCATAAATCTTCTGAAATACTTAATTTAAAATGGGATATAGACTATCTCTCTGACTGGGCACTAAGAAACAAAATGCGATTCCATCAGCAAATGTAAAGTGCTATTGTTTCAGGAAAACCATCTTTATCTCTCCATTCGCATATAATTTGATGGCTTCCTCTTGGGTATGTAGACGTTAGAAAAAGATCTTGGAGTCGATGTTTCTCCTAAGTACGTAGGAATAGTCAGTGCGACAGAAATTATACTAAGGCTGCAACAACTTGTATGGTCAGAAGAGATGGCATATTGTCATTGATCAGGAAAACGTCGCCGGGGGTGGCGCTTTACCTCTCCCTGGTTCGTAGCCAATCGTAAATTGTTCCATAATCTGGGCCTTGTAATAAATCACTTAGTGATAAATTAGAAAGTCTCCAAAGAGGAGCTGATTAATGGATCTGTCTGAAGAGGGCCGCAGTTTTCCATGAGCATATGTCAAAGTGCAAGTTGTCGACATCTCTTTGTCTCATAAGTTTGACTTGAATGATCTTATTTTTTTCCACAAAGTTTTACAATTTAATTCTGTATCGCTGCCTACCTATCTATCTTTATATCAGGCATTCTCGGACTAGACGTTGCACCTCGGACAGTCTGTCTATTGTGTCATCAATTTTTACCTAAGTTACGTCAGAATTCACACACCAAAATGTACCTCAAATAGCCCACTGGCAAAATCATTTTTTACAGAACCTATACTGTGGAATGGACTCCTTTTCCAGGTAGACAGATTGTGTTACTAGTCTTTTCAAAGCTGTGGTATAAGAATCTATGTGGAATTATGTTTATTGGGATAGTGAACAACGTCTAGCCTAGTCTCTTTTGCTCCATATGATTAATATTTTTGTTTTTATTAATTTTTTTATTACCTTCCCATACTTTCAACATCATATCACTCCTTCACCCCCACACCTTCTCACACATTAATGACCATTTCAGACTGTATCTAAGTATCTGGAATTTGACGTATTGAAATACAATTTTGACTCATATCCCCAGTTATTCACCATGGATTTGTTTGCTTATTAAATAGTTTTTCATAAATTTTGGATTTAGATTAATTCGATGTAATGGGTTCCAAGTTAATGCGGAATAGTTCATTATGTGTTTCGCCGTGTTTGGGTGCCCATCATATTTTACAGATGGGGGCGATATTTTGAACGATTCTATTTTATATTCTTCTATTGCTGTACTCTGTAAAATTTGAAAAGTATTTAATAAAAAAAATAATAATAGTAGTAGGTGTATCAATTAACAACATAAGTTGTTATGATTCATTGTGGACGTGGCAAAGTGATTGGACATTGGGTGAAGAACCATCTTGCGCAGGATCACTGGAAATGCGTACATTGAGCAGTATAAACCGCTGTGACCATGTTTTCGGCCTGATTGATTTATTCTTTATTCGTCTTATTTCGTACTAGCATATATATGCTTTACTTTGTGGTAATTTATATTCTTCGTTTCATCTTGAACATTCAGCAAAGGTAAGTGTTTAGGATTAATATTGATAAATCATTATTTGTTGCACATTTGTTTTGAAAATGTACATTGTAAAGTGATCAAGTACGGAGTAGGGAGTGGTATACAACTACAAGTGCAACACTTATGACGTATATTATGCCTGTTGTGTCACAATAACTTTACAAATTTTGATAGTTTAGAATCAAGATAATCTGTGAGGTATTCAAGACAACATCTTTTTAGCAGATAAATACAGTAGTGTACAGATATGTGTGCTGTTCTCAATGCGGGATTATGTTAAACAAGCGGTGAGGAGAGCTGTCTGCATAGTCTTCTTTTTAATTTCCAATCTTTTACGATAAAAGGAATCTCTCTAAAGACCTGATTGGGAAAAGTTTAAAAATGGATGCCATATTACTTATAAATGTCTGAATATTATGTGAATAATCCATTTACGAGGTTGGAAAAATGAGGTCGGGGAACTACTAGTTAAGGATTAAGTTCAAGTTTCGTCAAACTATGATATAATTTAACAAACATGGTGGTATTTTTGGGATCATTTTGGGTTTTCAAACTTTCCCTATTTTGGCAATAATATTGATCTTGTGACTGTGTGTATAGTATGTACATATGCTGGGAATTATGGACCAACCAATTTGTAATTTATCATTTCAGTATTTTATTTTTTAACATGAGATGTTTGTCTATCTTATCATTAGATCTCTGTTGTATTTACAAAATTAAGACTCATCCCGAAAAGTATTATAAGATCAGGTGATATGAACATGAGCCACGTGATAGAGGATAATATCTAGATCTCTCCTAATTAGTTCTCCCTATAAATTACCAGTAGTCAGATAGGGGTTTGATGTACAATGTACAATGTACAATGTACAATGTACAATGTACAATGTAAAATGTACATGAACTTCACCAGAATGTTGTGACACCGGGTACAGGAAGAACTCCGTTTGGCTGGCATGATCACCAGAAATTGCGTGGAATCATACATTGAGCAGTATATTCAATATTTATGCTTTTGATCTGCACTTAGCATTAAGTCATAAGACGCTGTGATCGAGTTTGTCGGATAAGTGCTTTTTTCTTTGTTCGTCCCTTGTGTTTCGTACTACATCATTTTCTTACCGTTGGAAATAATGTTTCTTCGTTTCATCTGAACATTGCCAATACCCGGCCAAAAGGTATGTGTAGGATAGATTTTTATCAATCCATACCAATCCATCTAATTTGCAATAGTCAGGCAGAGAATTGTAGTATGCAGTTCAAAGCGCTCGACTACAAGTACTCAAGCAGTAGAAGTATACGTGAACGTAACGTGTTCGTCACCCCAGGCATGAACGCATTGGACACGTGAACCTGTTCTGAGACTTGCTTCCACATCAGTGCAGTTACAGTATGTGCAGTTACATAGTTTGTTGTCTGACATGCGGAAAATGTACAACGAGCGACGTTAAAAGAGCCGTCTGCATAGTTCTATTTTTAGCTTCCATCTTGTTACAGATAATAGGAATAATCATTGGTCACGGAACTCATTGGACTCTTGATTGGGCACCTGTACTGGTGAATGTGTGCGTTGTACTACCGTTTACTTTACGAAAGAGAGATCGAAAAAAAGAGTTTAAGAAAGAGGTCCCTAAAACATTAGATGTATGATTTAATTTGAACTAAAATGGGGTATTTTTTGTGGTATTCTGTGTTTTCTGATTTGTGGTTATCATTATCTTGTGTGTACTATTATATGCTATTAAGTGTTACAGGCCAACCAAATTGTAATTCGTTTTTAATAATTCTGGTATTTTATCATTCAGTCTTGTCTCCAAAAAGTTGTTTTACTATTTCATATGGCCATCATTTTGAAATCAGTCCTTCATCACCAAATAACTTCCTAAATTGTGATAATATAACATCAGGTGATATCAACCACGTGATAGATAATATATTGATCTCGTATAACAATCAGTTCTCCTACTCACCTGTAGTAAGGTTGAGGTTGATGTACATGAACTTGACCAGACTGTTAATAGTCGTGGAGCGAGGAACGTCCGTTACTTCAAACCTGTCCCTTATCTTCGTACTGATATCCTCGTTTACCTGATAAATATTTAAATAAAATTATACAAATTATAGTTATAGAACGTGAAGAAAACTTTAAATCTGATCCACTGTTCCGCAAAATAGTATTATATTTAATATACTCAAAACATAATTTCCACCTGTGCTTGGAGAACTGACAGTTTCTTGGACCAGCTCCTCATTTTGGGGACCTCATGAACACCCTCCAACTTTGACAGCTCCTTTCCAATAACCTCTATCTTCAGCGTGTACTCCTTCTTCTGTCTGATAATGTCAAGAGACTGTGCGATGTTGGGTAACTCTTCCAGCGCTTTTGTGTTTAGAACTAACTTGTCTTGCAGCGAATCTGGAACACAGACGGTGGTACTTTATTACAGTTTTCATCACAAATAATACCCTAAGTATATTCTTATTATTTAATGCGATTCACCAAGCACGTTTATTACGTATTTGCTGAACAAAACAAGTACATGTAGAAACTAAGCTCTTGTTAAAAGGGGGGAGGATGATAAAAGGGCTCGCAGGACAGCTCAGAATTACCTACTCGGTTGACGACAGCAAGTGCCTGTTTGAACTGCAGACCTCTCATGAGGAGGGCAATAAAGAAAGCGCAGATAGCCATGAGATCACAGTGGACCAGGTCCTCACTGTCCACCTTGTGGTCAACTCCCATCATCTCACCCACTAGATCCAGTGCTAGTCTTATTGTCCATCTGAACAGCAGTTCTATTTAAAACAAAAAAAATAGATAACACTTTTATTGAATCTTACTTTATGGCGTATGAATTGAGAAACCAAAAGCTTATTTGAACAGCACTAGTACAACTGTTAGTTTAGCAAGAAACTAGAAACTACTGACCTGTCGTTAAGGAGGACCTCAGGTGTAAAAGTGGAGGGGAAGAGAGCGTTTATTAATCTGAGGAGTATTCTTGTGTCGGAGAGATCTTCAATATCGTTTAGGGGTGGTGATCGTTTGCCACTTGAACCTTCATGATCGATGTATATTTGTATCGCCTGGAATAATAAAGATGCATTCACTAGAATTATATGAATAGTGAGATGAAGTCTGACGAGTCTTTTAATGCAGTTTAATGAAACTTACCTGTGCTCAACAACGCTCATTGTTAATTTGACGTACCACTACACTATCAACCCAGAAAATTATTAATCTAAAAACGATGTGGTCTACACAGATGATTCAGACCACTGCACTACTATTTCATGATCTAATTTACCACAACCGATTCCATCATCCACAATATATCATGCTGATTATAGTAATATTTAGTCCATTGTTGCTATTTTATATTACAAGCATACCAATACACATTGCATAAATGACAATAGAATCAGATCAATAATCATATTATGCATGCTATCAAATGGTAAGAAGCATAAATGAATCCAGTGCGTGTATAAGCCGATTAGAACAGGAATAAAGTGAGTGCATGTGATTAAACGGAATGTAATGTTCACTGTCGGAGATGATTAACAGATTAGCTGAAGACTGGATTAATTAAACAAGTACCTCAATGACTGATTCTTCGGGTTTCATCTTCTTTTTCTTGTCTTTCAATTTTCGCTGCTTTTCCTGCATTATGTAATTGATTAAAGCTCTTTCAAATTTAAAATAATCATCTGGAAAATCACTGACAGAATCTTAGGATAAGATACGAATTTACTGAAGGCTTAGTTTAAACAAAGGAATAATACAATTATTCCGTTATCCATTTAAACATCCAATTGTATAAAACGACACTCGCCTGATTTTGCATTTGTTTGTAGGAGTAGTTGTTACCATCAGTGTAGCCTGGACTCTCTGGTCTGGGTTGTGGTATCCAGGAATAGGACTCGTTTAATATCATAAACTCGTTGGCATGGTACTTTCCTGTCTTGTCCCACGTTTCACGAATGTCGTATTTTACTAGATTCCAAAGGAACCAGGATATCTTGATTGGGAAAGCTGAGTTACAACTTTAAAGATCATTCCTATAAAAATAGACAGTCGGTGTGGATCATATATCACCTTAACAATGCTAAAAAGTTCACTGACCCATTTAAATTTCAATTATTTATTTACTTCTTGTGAGCTGAAAACTGGCAAAAAGTTAAACTAACCTCCTCCTGGTCACCGATTACTAAGCGATCTCTGTCGTACACATAGTTGTAAGGTAAAATATCATTGTCTTGTAGTTCTGCAATAATCCACTCAATACGTGTCTTTTTTTGTTGATCTGTCAACTCATCACACGACTGAACTTTTTTCATTTCACGACCTTGGAAAAGTTTAAGTTTACACTCTCATGAAGTTTAATCTGAAAGGTAAAATCACTTGATTTGAAATCTATTTGTCACTCATCACTTTGTAGTTTATAGCAATGATGATGATGATAATATTTTAATCATGAATGTTGATCTCATACCAAGAAATGATTCTGCAAGGTGCTTTAATGTAAATCCTCGAAAAAGATCTTTGAAAATGTTGGTCGTTTTCGTGCCATAAGAAAGAAGTCTGATGTTCAGCCAGAATCCAAAGCAACTAGTTCGTGTGTATTGCTGCATGTCTGAAAGAGATCACTGTATAATATTGCGATTCATTACAATAACAAGGACATAATATATTTATTCTAAGTGGCATAAAAAACTGGTAATCTAATACTATTTATACCATAATTCACTAAGAAACAAAAACACAGATTTGTAAAGTTTTGGACACAGGCAATATAATTTATGGCACATTTATATTACGTGTTGATCTGAATAATCGAATAGCACCATATTTTATATTTTAAAATATTTTTCAGTACGACTGTGTACATAAGATATTATAGAGGAAAAGTGATATCATAAATATTTAAATATAGTAATACCGATTTTTGAATGACAGTACCTTATATCAGTAAGCTTTAAACCAAATCGACCTCACTTTTGTCACAATTGTCACAAGCATTAATGGAATCAGTTCACATGGTAAAGTCTAGAGAGAGAGAGTTAAATTAGCATGCAGTACTCAGGTTATTGCTTTGTTAGATATAAGCCTGCTGAGATAATATGTAGATTGTAGTAAAAGTACAATCATTGAGTATTGTTACAACTAGTTGCATAGCTATTGAACATCTGTAATCAATATTTCTGACACTGCTTCATTGAAGTCTTTAAAATCCTTTGATTGATACATGACCCCTGCCAAACTATATTCACAAGAGGAAAGGAAACATTTGGACTTGCTCTTTCGCCATCAGGCAATTTTGTCTACATAGTTAGATTCATTTGGCAGTAACAAATGAATTCACCACCATGGCATAACTGATAACATTACTATTCATTAACAGTACTTAGAGTTAGTTCAGATATTGTACACTTTTTAGTCTCAAATTCATAAAAATGCTGCCACCCTTCACATAGCAGTGACGTAACGAAGGGCCCTGCCAACCCAGGTGTGCGGGGGCGCCATCTTAGGGGGGGGGGGCGCAAAATCGTCGTTGAATGTGGGACAATTTTGAAAAACTTAACTGAGGTACTAGCAAAACTGCGCGTTTTGCTCTAGAAACACACTTTATTAGAGATTTTACCGGCGTATTCTCTAAAATCACCAAATTTGTTCAATTTTAGGGAGGAGCGCCAAAAGGGGAGGGGCGCCAACAGGGGGGCGCATTTTCGGCAGGGGTGCCAACAGGCAACGTTACACCACTGTCACATAGCAGAGGTAACAGAACAGTCATGGTACCAGCAGGGACATAGCTAGGCTGTGGCAAAAGCAGGCAATGCCTGCTCCAGGAAACACTTTTCCTGCTCTTGAAAATTTAACAATGTAATAATGTTCATATTATTAAGAAAAAAGCACAAGCTTTTAGTGTTCACATTGATATCAATCACCAAATTTCAACTGCAGCAAGTGCAGAAACGAGTCAAAAGCCACAGTTGCCACCATGCTTGGAGTTACATGGGTTATCTTGTGAATCTTGGGGCTTGAAAAGGTGAAAAATTCAAAAATTGTATCCACAAAATCGGCTAAGAAAACAATATTTTTCCTGAAAAGTTCTGTGCTAGGATGCATGGAAAACGCATTTAGTGACCACAATCTTTAATCTTCGGAGTTGCTTTGAGTTTGCTCCATGGTTGATCGTCAATCATGTGAATTACCCAGCTTTAGATGATCACGGCTGGGACAATGCATGCTTCAACGGAAAATCCTGGCTAAGTCTCTGGACACCAATAATCGGAAAATCTGTAATCGAGGGATCCTGCCAAAAAATTTGAAATTTTCTAAGGGTACCCTTCAGTAAATCGCAGCACTACTATACACTACACTACTGTAACAGCTTATGTTATGCCAACAGTTATTATTAATGATTTAGATTTAAACCAATCCAGTGCTGACTGTTGATATTCCTTAAAATTTAATAAAATTTATTTTTGTATCTCAAAAATGATGTTGAGTTTTTAATATGACGTAGAATTATAGCTATTCTCGTACAGCATAAGTATGTGCGTTTTTGATTCACGATGTCAATCCTTCGCAGCTCGGTGAGGCACAGTAGTGCATCTCGCCGATCTACCGAAGCATCTCGCCGATCTACGAGAAGCATTATTTGATGCGCGCGCGACCCAGTAGTGCATCGCGCTACAAGTGCGTTTGAATTGAACTAGACTATGAACATGCTAGCTCTTTTATTTTGTTAGTTGGGCGACATTTTAGGTTATACTGGACCTAACAAGTTTTTGTATCACGTTGCGACCCCCACGGTCGTTTCACTACCTTTATCGTCCTGACGATACAAGGGGAGCCGCGCACTTCGTGCGCGGCGGGTCATACAACATATGACAAGCTTTCTTCTCGAAATGAAGCAGCGCGCGACAGGCCAGACCAATAACAATGGTCAATTATAGCGCGCGCTTACCGACTCATGGCTATTATATGTGAAATTTATGATGATCAATTGATTTACGATGTCAATCCTTCGCAGCTCGGCGAGGCCCAGTGGTGCATTTCCAATTTTGCCGATCTACCGAGAAGAATTGTTTGATTCGCGGCCCAGTAGTGTTTCTTTCAATATTTGAGATAGGGAATATATTGATTTTTAGAAAGCTTTTTTTTATATAGGGTCATTGTAACAATCATGTGTACATTGTTTGAAATTTCCAAAAAAAAAAAATTGTAGGATTCAAGATTCGAGTTTATTTTGCTACACGTTGTATACTTCTCGTGCACGCGATCAAAAAGGGTTACAGCGTGTGTGAAATTTCCAAAAATAAAATAAATATGTAGGATTCAAGATTCGAGTTTATTTTGCTACACGTTGTATACTTCTCATGCACGCGATCAAAAGGGGTTACAGCGTGTGTCAATTTTGCTCTAACCAGAGCCCTCTCGCTTGCAGTAGCGCGCGACCGCCGAAGGCTAATTGTGAAATAAGCGCGTCACGCAGTACGCGTAGACACATGGCTATGTGAAGTCAAAGCTTATTACATAAAATGTTTTATTCGTGTGCGTGCATGCAAAGAGAAACAAGCAATAATTAGCAAGCTAGGTAAGCATCGCCCGTAAATTATTCACAGGTCCTTTGCACTTCGGGGAATAAAAGTAAATCATACTTTTAAAGTAAAGTAAGTAAAGTAAAAATTATGACATAACATTATCACTAATGTCTACAAAGTATCATCACACTACATGGAAAAATAACTATTTCTCCATCAAATTTAAAGGTAATAATTTATCAAATATTAATCATGAATAAAAACAACATTACAAAATTTAATTTATTCATACTTCCCAGTGGAGTAAAGATTTATAAAACGTTTCTTTGCTACATAAGGATGGAACCACAGATAATCATTGTGTTTTTCCTTATTACTGATATAACTGGTACCTTCAATTCTTGTTAAAACTTACTTACTTTGGTTACTTTGGTTGTGTTTATCCTCGTAGCAGGAAGGGTCATCAGATTTCTGACCACCTCGATGGCGAGTAGTCTACCAGGGAATTAGACCAGCTGCAGCTATAACCGGAAGTCGGAGTTGTGAATGTTTGTATTTCCATTAACATAGTTTTAATACTTTCAATTACTACAATATAACTGTTTCAGGAGATATGTTCCCTGTTTATGTGTCTTAGGCTAGTGGAGCCTTGTTTGATATCCCTTCCCTTATACCCTTGGTGTTTCATTGCTTTCAGTGGTACTTGCCATTTCACATTGGTAGCAAGGAAGTGAACCTGCTGATTTGAGATCTACCGTGATGACAGGTGAAAACTCATTGGAGACACCTGCACCAAGCCCGGGTAACAATAGAACTGGATACAAGGCTCCACCGGCTTACAAGGAAGGTCGCTGCTATGAGGACTGGAGGTTGGACATTGATCTGTGGAGTGAGTTTACGGCTCTTCCCAAGAAGAGGAGGGCAACTGCGTTTCTTTTGGAGCTGAAGGAAGGAAAAGTCAAGAACCATGTTAGATCCTTGGGCAAGGAAGTGCTCATAGCTGAGGATGGCTTGGAGCAGATAATAGCTCGATTAGATAAGATCTACAAGGAAGACTCGTCACATATAGCATATAAAATATACTGTAAGTTCGAACAGTATGAAAGGCGCGATGAAATGAATCTGCAGAGTTATATATCTGAGTTCGAGAAGTTGTACGACGATCTGAAAAAGCACAAGATCGAGCTGCCAGAAGAAGTACTTGCATATAGAGTATTGAACAGTGCCAAGCTGGCACCAGAGAAAGTCGATCTTGCATTGGCAACTGTGAAGAGTATGACCTATGCAGAGATGGCAAAAACGATAGGGAAAATCTTCACACGACTCCCAAACACCGACAGTCAGCAACACGGAAGTGAAACTACTGTGATAAAGAGTGAGCCAGAAGAGTGTAACTTTACCTACAACAACAACTGGAGACGAGGCTCTAGAGGAGGTTCAAGAGGTTCAGGGAGTTACAGTGGTCCGTATAAAAATAACCGAGGAACCAACAGAGGAACTTCATTTCCATATTCAAGAGATGCTAGAACCAGGTTCAATAGCGGCTGTTTTGAGTGTGGAGATAAGGGCCATATTGTTCGTTTTTGTCCAAAGAAAGCAAGAGGTGCTCAGTACTTCGCGGAGGAAGAAATGGAATCAGAGAACTCTGGAAGCGCCTACGTGACTCTGATGGTAGAAGAAACCACCCTCATTCAGGAGAAGCCTGATTCCAGCTCACTAGTGTTCGAGACACTATCGTGTGCAGTCATTGATTCTGGCTGCACAAAGACTGTGGTTGGAAGAAACTGGGTTGAACAGTATGCAGAAACATTGGGAGAAGAAGAAAGACGGATGATGACTCCAACTGAATGTGCAACCCCTTTCAAGTTCGGAGATGGTAAGAAGGTGACCTCAGTTGAAAAGATAAAGATCCCAGGGAGGATAGGGACGCAGAAAATACTCATCAATGCAAATGTTGTGAGTTGTGACTTACCCCTACTATTGAGCAAACCCTCTTTGAAGAAGGCAGGAGCAGTAATTGACTTCACCAAAGACACAATGATGTTCAACAGAGAACAGGTCAAATTGCTTGAGTGTAAGTCAGGACATTACTGTGTACCCCTGTGCAACAGAAGGAGATGTCTCAGCGACTCAAGTGTGCAGTTGGTATTGACAGTTACTGAAGATACTATGGGTGGCACAGATGAAAAAGAAATGAAAAAGAAAGCCTTGAAACTGCATAGGCAGTTTGCTCA